CATCCTAATTTTATTTATTTATTTATTTATTTATTTATTATTTTAAATCTTCCTATTTTTAATCCTACAGACCCCTCCAGCTTTCTCTTCTTGTTATTTCCAGGTTTGGTACTTCTCCAGGCTCTGCTTGCAGGAGTGTCTTCTCTGTGGGTGTAGCCTTCTTGTGGGGCTGTTCATATTTGTTTTAGACTGCAGTTTTTTCTGCACTGCCTAATCCCAAAATAATCCCATCTGTTTTCTCTCTTCTAGAATGGATGAATGCATTTTAGTGGAATTTTGGTAGGGAGTGGAGGAAAATGATTGTCCTTAGTTTGTCTTATACAGAGTAGATAATTCATAGGTATTTGTTGAATAAATCAGTTAATGCTATTGAGAAAATGGGGCAAAGGATACTTTTGTTGAAATTTAAAAAATTATGACTGTAGGGTATGGGTAATTAAATGAATCCTTTTTCTTTTATCATACTTTTTTGTCCCTTTAATTTATCCTGTTTCAGGAAAGAATCTCATTGAGGTTAAAACTTACCAGTGGAGGTACAAAATGAGAAAGCTGCCTTTTCTCACAATTTTTTTTTTCAATTAAGAGCCTTAATTCCATTTTGTTCCTTTTTCGTGTTTAGCACAGTGCTTGGTATGTTGTAAGTATTCAATAAATCATAGTTATTATTCTGTTTAACTTAAACTCGTTTTGAGTCTCATTTTCATCATCTAAGAAAATGGGGATTAATATATGTATCAACAGAATAGATTTTGGTATATATAGTATTTGCTACATAAGATTAATTATTATTCTTTGATCCATGAGCAACTATTTTTTTTTTCCATGAGGCTTTCTCTGATCTTATTAGTTTGAATTAATAATTTGCTGTTCTGTATCCTGCTTGTATTTTTTTGTCACAGCCTTTATGCTAAATAACATTGATTTGCTTGGTTGTATGTCTTTCCACCAAATGTACTCTTTTTATCTTGGTAGTCTTAGTGCATAGTTACTGCTTGACACATTATCACAAGTCCCTCATTTTTGCTGGGTCTTAATGGATGAGGAGGATGGGGTGACTGGAGCATGGGGTGGGGTACATTAGTAGGAAGTGAAATGTGACAAATATGCTAACACCATATTATAAAAGTTGAATACCAGATTAAAGAATTTGAAATTTGTTTAGTATGCTGTGGGAGGCATTTTTGATTATTGACCAGATTAGTTCGATATTTTAGAAACATAATTCTCATTGAGAGTAGAGAATGTATTAGAAAGAAGAAAAGAGATTGGAGGTAAGGAGAAGATGTAAGAAACTCTGGCTCTTGCTATATTATAAGGTTCCCATTTTAACTGAGAAATCTTCCAGCTCGTACTTGAAGGATAGGTCTCTTACCATCACGTAATATTTCAAGCCACCTCACAGATAGGCTCCAGTGCTTCCCTGCTAACTTTTCTTTGACTTCTTATTAAGAAATGTTATATAAAGTTTTTAGTAAAATAAAGTTTAAAATTTTGTGTATATTGGGAAAATATTCATTTTCTCTAAAAGCTTGTAAATTGATGAGTATCTTAAACCTGTTTGTTGTATTTTCTGTTCTAACAATTGTTCAACATTTAATGTGTGTCGTGTAGGGAGGTAATGTGGGACAAAATTTTTCTCCTTGGGGAAAGAGATGAATTCTGTTTTTAGTATGCTAAATTTCAGGTGCTTGTGTAGCTCAATTGGAGATACCTTACATATAAAACATAGGGTCATAAAGAATTTGAGAAAGATTGGAAGTTTTCTCAGTGAAGATGGTAATTGAAACCTAGGACTTGGTGAGTTTGTGTATTTGATAAAAAATCTAAGATGTAAATACAATGAAATATTCTGCTTTTTTGGCCTTAGTGAAATGAGATGTTTGCTTACTAGTGTCTGGTGCATCAGAATTGTAAAGGATGAAACCGAGATCTTTGGGTTAAATCAGGGAAAGTGTCATTGGAGACCAGAGACTACACTGATTCCGTGAGTACAGCAAGAGCAAAGGTAGATTGGAAGGGCATTACGAGGAGTTGATAGAGAAGTAGAACACTGTACTTAAAAAATTCTGTGAAGGATAGTAAAATTGGAAGAATAAAAGAAATTCTAGGGGTAAGTGGTGGTTTTTCCAGTTACAGAATGTATGTATATATGTTGTCAAACTTTTTATAAAGACAAGAAGTTTTAGTACAATTAAATGAAACCACCAAGAGATTAGTGCTGAATATATGTTAGAGAAAGGGAAAATGAACCTTAAGAAGAATGAAAAAAAACCCTGAAATTCAATAAAGCTTATTTTCATCATATAATCTTGACATACAGAAGAATAATTTTAGTAGTTGTTGCTTGAGAAGTTAAAATTCTTTGAAAAGTAGCCACAGGGTTAAAAAAAATCATCCCACTAATCTTTGAGTTTCTAATATATGCTTAGGGTGAATTTATTTTAAGGCTTTAGAAATCCATAAAAATAGATTGTTGAGAGCTGAATAAATACATAGAAAATATAGTCACAGTATCTTTGGTGAGAAAAGATAAGCATAATTGGAATATTTGATATGTAGATTTTAACATGATGTGATGAGAGGGAATTTTAAGTGCATCCATCATTTGACTGACTTTGAAAGAATCAGGGATGGTAAATTATAGGAGTATGGTGCATTGATATTCACAACTGTTCCAAAGTTATGATTTAAAAGCTATGTATCCATGGAAAAGAGAAATCTAATATAATGGAACGAAATGTTGACTATAAAATGTTTGAAAAATTTCTAATAGACCAAATGTGGTTCTTAAATTATAGGCATGATTGTAATCATTATGAATCTCAAAGAGATGCTAAACCCACATACTCTGGATATATAATGTAAAGTAATATTAGGTAATATTATTACATCAGGTATTGCATAATGCTTTACATATGTTAATATTAAACGAGCACCTTCAAGATGTAAAATAATATACATTTCAGGTATTTTATTAGTAGAAAATGAAAAAAAATTCCTTTTTAAGATGAAATGCATATCCTGTAGACAGTGGCTAATTTTTAAAGTCCGTCTTAAAGAAATGGGTCACATTCATACTTTCAGATATTCGGAGTTGACATCACAAACCTTTGTTTCCCTAACTGGTAGCCTTTTATCTGTGGAGGTGGTATCTAGATGGTACTTACCGTTCATGGTAGATCAAAGAGTGACTATGTTTTCCTGGAAGTGGAAACTTGGTACCTGTTATTCCTTCTAGCTGGGAGCCTTCAAACCCTAGCTTCTCTCTAATAATTAAATTACTGTTTAACCTTCTCCATTTTAGCTCTGTTTCTCCCCATCCCAGTGAATATAAATATCCCCGTTTCTGGGCTCTTTGGAATATGTCCTCCCTATAAATGTTTATGGTACACCATATGTAGTATGTCACATATTTTCTAGTCTGACTTGTAACTGAAAGCCTAGAAAGACATAAATGGGGATCTCAAAGTTATCTCTTGCCCTTTATATTCTGTAACAATTATATATTAAATGGTAGAAGAATCACTTTGGGGCGTCCCAAACTCCTTTGGACTTAGGTTTGTTTGTAAAATGAAAGGCTGTATTTCTGAATTCACCTACATGATTCTGCGCTATAGAATATGAATCTTGGATTGGCGCATTATATTTGTGGGAATTGATATACATCTGTCAAAATTAACTCTAACATCTTTATGTAACAAGCTACATACTATTTCATTATACAAAATAATTAGTTTTGTTTACCTCCTGAAAAAAAGATGGTGGATAGTGAACATGGTGAAGTTTAGGTGGGTTTTTAAATATACTGTAGAAAGGTCTTGTGTTTTAGAGTGAGAGAGACCTGGATTTCTGCTACTTAACATATGTGTGTAACTGTGCAAGGTGCTATGGAAACAAGCTCAGAGAAGTTACCCAGAAAATGCTTCCATGTGTAAAGTGCCTAGCATATCTTTATGAGATACTCATTAATGAATGTTAACTCCTTTTCTTGTTTTACAGGACAAGTGAAATGCCTTCTGGAAAACTAATATTGAAAATGTTGGGAAATTATTTAAAATAGTTATATAGCTGAGGAAATTACCAAGTTAGGTGTTAATAAGAAAAATATGGAAAGGACTACTTTTCCTACTGTGTAGGATGACTTTGTTTAATGTGAAAATTTTCTGTATTAATTACTAGTTATGCTGGGGTTTGAAGAGTTTTTATTAAGTTTCATAATAAATTTAATGTGACGCTGAAATTCTTTTTATGTTAAAGTGGGTTCCATAGTGTAATGGGCACTCTGGACTCTGAAATTCTTTTTATGTTAAAAGATTTTAAGGCGCCTGGGTGGCTCAGTTGGTTAAGCGACTGCCTTCGGCTCAGGTCATGATCCTGGAGTCCCTGGATTGAGTCCCGCATCGGGCTCCCTGCTCAGCAGGGAGTCTGCTTCTCCTTCTAACCCTCCCTCCTCTCATGTGCGCGCGCTCTCTCTCTCATTCTCTCTCTCAAAGAAATAAAATCTTTAAAAAAAAAAAAAAGATTTTAGAGAGACTGTCCTATTGAGAAAGAAGGAACCTGTAACACAGATTACCTTGATTAGAATTAAGATCAATTCTACATGAGTTAATAATGCACATGTAACTTTCCTATTTGAGTAGCATCATCAACAGTACTAAGTGGATACCTTTGTTTTGGTGACAAGATATAAGAAGGAAAAAAAAGCCTGCGTAGCAAATGATTAGGTAATGCCACCTTAGTAGTTAAAAAAAAAAAAAATACAATTCTAAAGGTCATTTCAAACACCAGACTTTCATTATATGTATGTTTCTGTTAATTTGTAATATCAGAAAGGCCATCTCTCTTTAAGTTGCAGTATAAGATTGATACAAAGTGACTGAATGGCATACTGCATTGTTAGTGGACATGATTCATATAATGTAATTTGTGCCTTTTTAGCTGAATGAGTTTTTTCCCATGTAGTAAAATGCATTTATTCAAAAAAGGGGAGGTAGAGTACATTATAATTCCAAGGAAATTTTTATGTTAAAAATGCCAGTCTTTTTGACTTACATTGGAAAGGGTCTTATTTAATACCCGAACAAGGAAATTCACAATGAAGGTTGAAATCTTGTCTAATTACCATATATTTCTAATTACACATTATTTTAAGTTTATATATTTTAAACCATGGTTACACAATTATCGTATAGGAATATATTGAAGATAATACCTTATTATATTTACTGGACTTTGGTTTAATTCTCTACAACTTCAAAATAGTTTTGTGATATGAAACAACAGAATTATTTTTACTCTGATAAAAACAAGCTCTGAACTGAGTCCTTCATTGTATTTTTCTAAAGAACTCACTTCTTATGAGCAAGTGTTCAATATCATATAGTTAGGAAACCATTATATTATTAAAACTTGAATTTTTTCCTTATATCCCAGTATTTTAAATATTTATATGTTTCAGGATACATGAAATTAAACTGCACATTTTGATCGTATCTTGACTGCAACATTAAAAATAAATAAGACCTTCAAGTAAACATGTTTCCAAATCATATTGCCAGCGTGCATGGAGCTATAGCTTTTCTCTGAAGACTAAAAGCTCTGCTTGTTTGGAAAAGTCAGTGATTAGGTCTTTATAAGCAATTGAGGTTCTGTTTTCCTTCTAAACGTTCCTTTACTAATTTTTCCAAAGAGAAAAGATGCTCGTCTGCATCTTCTGGCACAAGGTTCCTAATTGAATTTGCAAGTTCAAAAAGATATTCTGTATTTCTTCCACTTGGACCAGCTGCATTAAAAATTTGTTCAGCAATGTCTTCTAGAGGTGCAGGACCAAGATAATTAGGATTATCACATGTTCCTATGTACAGCAACACAGTGAATGGTTTTGTTGTAGGATCTTTTGGATAAAAAATGACTGTCGTGGTCCTGTAGCCTCCTTTTTCTCTGAAGTCAAGGTATGCTTTTACTTCTTCTTCCTTTCCTACTGGCAGTCTATAAGCAACACCCCAAACACAACCCTGTTGAAAAATGAAAATACAATATTTAGTATTTACAATGCTAAAATAGGTGAAGATATATTGTGCTCTAAGAAAGTATCTTGTATATTCTTAGAAGTCAGTAAAGTTTTGGGGCACCTGGGTGGCTCAGTCAGTTAAGTGTCTGCCTTTGGCTCAAGTCCTGATCCTGGGATCGAGCCTGCATCTGGTTCCCTGCTCGGCGTGAAGCCTGCTTCTCCCTCTCCCACTCCCCCTGCTTGTGTTCCCTCTCTCGCTGTGTCTCTCTCTGTCAAATAAATAAAATCTTAAAAAAAAAAAAGTGTAGTTTTGCATTACTTAAAGTGCACTGAGAGGTACCAGCTCAACAAAAGAGGTTGCCATTTAGTATTCTGAATGGAGTAACTTTACAAAGGATATTTGAAAGTTCCTGCAGTGAAAAAAATGAACAAATAAAATGAATTTGCGATGGCTTTAAGTAGTTGATTACTTTTTTACAGAGCTTTTAAAACACAGAACCCTTTCTGCAAACAAGGGAACACCTGATATGTAAAAAAGATAAGTGATGCTAGCTGAAGCAGGTTGGGGTATCAAAGCCCTCCCAACCAGCACCCAGCAGTTATATCCACTACAGCCCCTCAGGTAGGCTTCAGAGTGGCTACAACACTCCATGAAGCAGTTTGGAAACCACTGCCCTATACCATTAGTGAATGTTTATGGATTTAAAAGTTTAGAATTTTTTTTTTTAATTTGTCAGAGAGAGAGAGAGCATAAGCGGGGGAGCAGTAGAGGGAGAGGGAGAAGCAGGCTCCTCACTGAGCAAGGAGCCCGATGTGGGACTCGATCCCAGGACCCTGGGATCATGACCTGAGCCGAAGGCAGACGCTTAACGACTGAGCCACCCAGGCATCCCTAGAACTCTATTTTTAATGACCAAATAAACACCTGATATTTTTTTCAGTCCCACTAGTTAAAAGACATAATTTTTAAAACTTAAACAATGATAAGTAACCTAGTGTGCAAAGAAATTATTCAGAATGAAGAATTTTAAAATGCTGGTTTCCTTTATTGTTTAGTTTGTTCACAAAGTATCAGTAAAAACAGTATATTTTGGCTGCAGAGGTTTTGTGTGTGTGTGTGTATATGTATTAATAAAATATCTGTGATATAAGCAGGATTTACAGTTTGTAGTATAGATGCTCTAGTTTATTCACAACCTTTTATTATTAACTTTAAAGACTAAACTTTAGGTTGCTAAGTATCTTCTTGAGTGAATTCAACATTCTATAGAAACGAAGTGCTGTATATTAACTTTAATTAAGAGTTACGGTTACCAGTTTGAAACTTTTTTTTTTTTTAAGTAGGCTCCATTCTCACAACTTGGGGCTTAAACTCAGGACCCTGAGATCAAGAGTCGAATGCTGTACCAACGGGGCTAGCCAGGCACCCTGAAGCCATTTTTATATATGCTTTTCCTAATGCAAATTATGAAAGCATTTCATTTCACTATTTCACCATTATCATCTGCTGTTGATAGCTGCTTATTCTTTGCATATCAAAGTTCTTTCCAAAGTTAAATCCTTAACTTCAAAATATAAAAGTTTGTATCTGTACATCAATGAAATGATTTAAAATATTTAAGAAAACAGAGGACTATCAGGTAAATATGTTTTCTAGTGCTCCAGATCTCTTTAAAAACCTATTGTGCTATTAATAAAATTAGGCAATAAAGAAAGTGATAATTCCTGACTGGGATTTTTGCTGAGAATCGTAGACTCCTAGCAAATGTGAGGAGAATTTTAAGGGTTCCATTTGATTCTTAGTAGCAGTTTGGCTGTCTGAGGGCTGGCTCCATTAATTCTTAGTCAATAAACTGAATAAGAAAAGAAAAATGAAAAAAAAAGAGAAAAAAGAAAATGAGGGGCGCCTGGATGGCTCAGTCGTTAAGCTTCTGCCTTCAGCTCGGGTCATGATTCCAGGTCCTGGGATCGAGCCCCACATCGGGCTCCCTGCTCGGTGGGAAGCTTGCTTCTCCCTCTCCCACTCCCCCTGCTTGTATTCCCTCTCTCGTTGTGTCTCTCTCTGTCAAATAAATAAATAAAATCTTTTAAAAAAAAAATGAGACTACATACCATTTGGTTTTATTTTGTTGTCTACCTTTCAGTCTGCATTCCAACTTTTCCCAACAGTTGAAAAGAAACAGAACAAATACAGAGATGAATTCTAGACCTAGTATTCAAACTGTCCGTGATGACTGTTGATAGAATTCATTGATTATTAAAACTGAGAAACATTCAACATTTTATATGATTAAAGACTATACAAAAAAGAATAATTATACCATACCCCAGGATCTTCAACAAGAGTCACAACTCTTCCAGGCTGTTTTAAAAAAAAGTAAAAAAAAAAAAAAAAAAAAAAAAAGTTTTTTTTTTTTCTGAATCAGTTTTTCAACTAACCGAGCATTAGCAATTTGTTGTTGACATGGAATATTTTAATTTCATTTGTTCATACTAAACACTTTCTTAGCACTTATTTTTTATGATAAATTTTCAAGTGGATTAACTAAGAAAATATACCTTATCTTTTCTAAAAGATTCCTTCCAATTTGTGTATATTAGCTATATTGACTTAAAATCGATATATTAAAAAACACACCTGTGACTAAGGCTCATCTAAAATGAAAGGTAAAGGGAGAAGCAATTATAAATAAAAGGTCTGGTCAGATTCCTATAGTTTTATTAGGGAACAAACATGTTCTTCCAGAGTGCTTTCCTCTAATAGGAAAGTGGTTCTCAAACTTTAGATCAAAATTACCTGGAGGGTTGATAAACATATTACTTAGCCACAGTCCCAGAGTTTCTGATCCTGTAGGTCTGGAGCTCTCTGAGAATTTGCTTTTTTTTTAAAGTACACTTCCTATATAGTGCGAAAGGCTATGTATCTATTGACATGTTAGCATCATTAGTGAGAATGCTGAATTGTAAGCATTTTAACATTTTTGTTTTAACATTTGTTTGCCCACTGTTCTAGCACATATTAATCATAAATCATTCAGATATTTGTGTCATCTTCATTGCTGTTTCTTCTAGTCTTTGTCTATTTGTATAGATAATTTGTAACCATGGAAAACATGGGATTTTGGATTATGTTTCTTATTATATTTTCTTGTTAATCTCATTTTAATAACTGCATAATGTATCATCAGTGAGCTATAATATAAACATTTTTGTGTTGTTGGACATTGAGATTTGACTTGTTTTTCTATTTAAGAAAATGCTACAATGAGGATACATATATTGATGTAGGTATTGCCATATTACTTTCAACTTTAGAGTGAATTAGGAGCTATTTACTGAATACCTAGCTATGTTGTAGAGAAAATAAAACCTTGATTCTTGCTTTCAAGAGCTTATATTGTAATTCTGGAACATGAACTTAACATGTGAAATAGAGGAACACTTAAGGGCTAAGATGTATGGTATAAGTGCAGTAAGAATTCTGAGTCTTGGTGGTCATAAAGAAAGACAAAATTCTGGCAAAAGGGCATAATTCACAAGAGTGGACCTCTAGTGTGGACCTAGAGGCAAGACTACAGGCTAAGTGTCTGACTTTAGCAGTTGACCCCAACATATAAAGGAGATGATCCAGAAAGATAACTGGAGAAACAGGATAGTTAGATTTGAAAAGCCAGAGTGGAGGTGAAGCTAGGGGACAATGGAACATAAGAAGCCAATGAAATTTGGGAGAAATAGGAGCTACTGTAGCACTTGAGGAATGGATGACTCGTATGATAAAAAAAGTGTATGGGGAAGATCCGAGTGATAAAGTATATAGTATGCAAGTTAGAGTGGGAAGGAAGTAGACTTTTGAGTAAGAAATGTTAGTGGTCCAGGTGACAAGTTCTGTACTCCCCTTTTCCTTGTTTCCCCTTATATCCAGCCCAGTCATCAATTCTTGGTAGTTCTGTCTTTTGATTCTTCTGTATCTGGTTCCTCTGCATCCTTCAGTGGCTTCCTTAGGGACCTCACTGCCTCCCTCTAGTTTTGTTTACCTCTAGTTTGTTCTCTTCTTGGCTATGGAATGACTTTCTAGTGCAAACATTGGGCCACTCACTCCTGTGCTTTGAATTTTTCAGGGTTAGAATATTCTACAGGATAAAATAAAAATTCCTCAGCATGACTTTACTACAAACCTCATTTCTTACCACTTTCCCCCTCAAGCTGTACTGATTTATTTGTAACTTTTACAAACATTCATATCTTTGTATATACCAGTACTCAGTGTGGAATGCCCTTCCTTTTATATCTGTGGGATATCTTCCTGCCATTCCGTCCATAAAGGCTTGGTGACTCCCCGGGCAACTCCGTAGCAGCTCCTTCTAAACTCTCATTTCTCCTTTTATTCACTTCCCTGTGGCACTTGTCAGGTATTGTTGTTTGCATAGGTGTCTCCTACTTGTATATGTAAGTGGTCAGTAGTAATTGTTGAAAGAGGGAAGTCCTGGACTTTAGGTGGTGGCAGTTGAAACAGAAAACATAAGGAATCATTTTAAGGGGAAATAAACAGACTCCCTTTGATTGCCTATAGATGATACAGACATGGACTTTTGGCACTACTGATAAATTTACTTGGAAATATTTTCTTTTGTAAAGATTTATTTATTTTAGAGAGCAAGAGTGGGGCAGAGGGAGAGGGAGAATCTCAAGCAGAGTCCCTGCTGAGTGGGGAGCTGGCATGCTGAACTCACAACCCTGAGGTCATGACCTGAGCTCTAATCAAGAGTCGGATACTCAACCGACTGAGTCACCCAGCACCCCTTGGAAATATTTTCTAAAACTTAAACTTGTTGTCCCTAAAATAAATGTTATTGAGAAATAGTGTACATTTGTAAATCACATGAAAGCTTTTTTAGGGTACTGAAACTAAAGAAGGGGTCTTTGAAGCTGAATAGTATTGGAGGATATCGTGAAATATGGGCCATTATGGGTGCTTTGAGTAATGAGTAATTTTTCTAGATCTAGAAAATTTAGATCTAGATCTAGAACAGTTAGAGATTTAGTAAATGTTCATGATTATCTCTTGTGTTAAAATGTTTCTTTTTGAAGTTGAAATATATTCTCTCTGCTGTGAAAACAATGTTCACATTTAAATGAATCCTTAATTTGGTGAGATGCTGCTAGCTTTGTTATATATAAATGAGATGCTTAATAAAATTTAGGAAGAAATTAAAGTTTAATGAAGCTAAAAAGAAAGCATAATTGAATAAAGCAAGTAGGTTTGGTATTTTTCCAGAAATGTCACATTGCAGTGTGTGGAAATGAGCCTAACGTTTGTTTAATAATACCACATTTCATATGTAATGATGACTAATTTAGTAGGAGCATATGCTGCTGTAAAAAACATAGTCCTATAAAATACCCATGTCATTCTTCTAATTTGCTGGGTATCTCTGTAGCCTTTTGTATTCTTCTTTGACAGTTAAGATTTATATAAAGCTGGTGATCTACTATAATAAAAAATGTTAAGTAAATAATGTTCTTTCCATTTTTTTTCTTAGATTTTATTTATTTGACAGAGAGAGACACAGCGGGAGAAGGAACAGAAGCAGGGGGAGTGGGAGAGGGAGAAGCAGGCTACCCGCTGAGCAGAGAGCCCTATGTGGGGCTTGATCCCAGGACCCAGAGATCATGACCTGAGCCGAAGGCAGACGCCCAATGACTGAGCCACAACAGAACAGTATACTTAGAAAACGTTTGTTACTTAGACTTTCCTTTAATTTGCTATGATGGATCCTTTAAATAAAAGTAGGTGTAAAACTATTAGCCATTGCAGTCTCCCTGGCTCCTACCTTACCTGCCCTATATTTTAGTAAATATAAGTAAAAAAATACTGGCTTTTATAGCTTCTTTCTTCTTTTAAAGAAGCTGTTGCATTTACTCGACAACTTCTTATTGTTCTAGTCCAACAGTGTACATATCTCAATGTGCTATATAACAAACACATCATACATTTTGATTGAAACTAGAGTATAGGGGCACCTGGGTGGCTCAGCATCTGCCTTCGGCTCAGGTCATGATCTCAGGGTCTTGGGATCAAGCCCCTTGTCGGGTCTGTTTCTCCCTCTCCCTCTGACCCCTGCTGGTGCTCTCTCTCTCTCTCTCTCAAATAAATAATCAAAATCTTAAACCCCAAAAACCTAGAGTAGTAAAATATGCTATTAAAACCATATTTATGGGGCTCCAGGGTGGCTCAGTCAGTTAAGCATAGGACTCTTGATTTCGGCTCAGGTCATGATCTCAGGGTGGTGAGATTGAGCCCGTCATCAGGCTCTGTGCTGGACATGTAGTCTGCATGCGCGAGGCTCTCTCCCTTCTCCCTCTGTCCCTACCCACACCCCCCCATCCGTGTGCAGATGCTCTTTCTCTCTCTAAAAACAAAACAAAATAAAAAACAAAATCATATTTGTAAGCATTTAACACTTGGTCATTAAAATTTGGAGGCTGGGTTAAGGCTTTTCTCTTAATAGAAATTTTAAGTGTTCATATCTGACAACTCAAAAGGCATTTTACTTCACTTAGTTTTATTAACAAGTTTCATTTTACTTAATTCTTTAAAGTCTTAAATATTGTTTTATAACATTTTTTAAAAAAGAGGATTTTATTTTTAAGTAATCTCTACACCCAGTGTGGGGCTCAAGTTTACAACCGCAAAATTAAGAGTTGCATGCTCTACCGATTGAGCCAGCCAGGTGCCCCTGTTTTATAGTATTCTTGAAGAAATTTTTGCCATTAAGTTTCTGTTGGTTTACCAATGTGCATTTCCCCTACTTTCCTGTTTTCAAGTCATCTGCCTACCTTAAAGCCAGATTCTAGCATTTTAAATATTGTGTTTTGGGGCCAATATTATTTCTTTTTAAAAAACAGTAATCAAGCTCATATAACTCTGAGTACTTTAAAGAAGATATAAACAATAAAAAATTTTGTACCCTTCCAAAAGTTAGGAGATTAACTAAAACACGTATTTATGGTATCTGAATTGTTACCCAAAACTTAAGTCTTCTTTGTGGATTGGTTGTTTTGAAGCCAATACAAGGCTGATTTGCATAAGCAGTGAGCTGCTACTAGTTCTCTGTACACATATTTTGGGATGAATGTCTTTGTATGACTGAAAAATGGATCAAAGAATTTCCATTTCACATTCATAATTTAGAGGAGAAACATGGGGAAATATTAAAATAATGTTGGATACAGTAATGGGTACTGTGTTACTCAAGTAACAAACCAGGAACTCATTTAACTTTGCCGGTACCTGACAACCGAAGTAAGTGATCAAAGTAAACTCCTTAATAACCGGAGATAATTTTGGAAAATAGTTCTTCTTTGACCTTAGGTGTCATAAAATAAAACCTTTGGCAAGATACAAAGAAACCTCAGAAATAACATGCTCGTTTAAACTGAAACCAATGAAAGTCTGCCAGAATGCAGAAATGCCAACAATTTTAACTGATAAAAAGTTGAATGTGCAAGTTGATTTTGGTATTTCAACTCCGTGGTGACACGAAGATTGATCTTCCCGCCTGTTTTTTTTTTTTTTTTTTTTGGCAGAGGTTGCCAAAAGATGGGGCCCCCTCCGAGCACGTCAGCCTTGTGCGAGCTTGTGTGCTTGTGTCCACGTTTCTTGTTTCCTCAAGAAACTAACCACCCGCATCTCAAGTGGCTTCGGAAGGAGTGCCCTTGGTTTGGGAGAGAGGTAGGGGGCAGGTGGCCGAGGAAACTACACCCTCAGAAACGTTGGGGTGTAGGTCCGGCAAAGCTGGGGCAGGAGTTGGGGAGCGACGCTCCGAGGGCAGTAAGGGTTGGGGGACTCGCGCCTCACCTTGCCGGGGACCCCGCGATGGTCGGTGCTTCCCTGCCAGAAGCGCCTTTTGTAGCCTGTGATGTATCCGACCATCTTGTCCTGATAAGGGAAGTCCACCTTCCAGATCAGGGACCCATAACCAAAAACCCACATCCTTCCCTTGCTCCTCCGCTGCGGCGGCGGTCGACTCTGAGCTTTGGTCTCTACCTTGCCGGCACCAGTGGGGATTGCAGCCTTCCCGACGCAAGTTAACCGGCTGGGCGGGCGCAGGCGCAGTGGCCGCACTCCCGGCTCGGAGGCGCAAAGCACACTGGGACACGTAGTTCGAGGATCGTCTTCCGACTCGGTCAGCGTTATTTTATTTCGTTGCTTAGGGTATCAAGGATTGACCTTCCGTATGCTAAGCAGTGTGATTCTTTCGTAGTCTCTGCAACGCAACCTAACCGTCTGGGGCGTGTATGCAGAGGACTACAATACCCACAATCCTTTCCTGGGATTTGGGGCTCTGAGGTTGGAACTGTCCGCTTCTTTCGAGCGGGTACAAGGAGAAGCGAATCGCTTGGAGTCGCTGCTGCTGGTATAGTCTAGATACCGGGAAGAGATGTACCGGCACTGCGTTTGGCACGTAGGAAGACATTTTGTTCTTTGAAAACTGGGTTTCTGCCAATTTAACAGCCGCCAGAGGAGCGCAAGCTCTGAATGCGGTATTTGGCTTTACACTTAAAAAACGGAAACAAAACAAAACAAAAAACCAAAAAACTTCTGTATGTCTGCCTTTCACATAAAGCAGAAAGTTTACCACAGAACTTTTACGTCTGCGAAAGAGCTATTGTTTTTAAATTTTACGCGCAAAACGACCTTATTCATCTTTAGTATTCTCAGCAGCTCACTCAGAAAAGGGTAAGCAAAGGTTCTTACCTCATGCACAGGCTTTAGAAACGATATATGGAACCTGAAATTGTATACAGAATTTGGGGTCTGTGTGCATTCTGGGGGAGAAGCTTCATAGCTTTCATGAGTTTCTCCAACAGGTCAAGATTCTAAAAAATGTTAAGATCTGCTGGTTAGAACTACTGCTCCAAAATACTTTTTAGGAAACTCACTTGGACCAGCACGGCTGTGTTTCTGTGTGTAAAAAGAGAAGCTTTAGCAAATTCTTGCTTTAGCTACACAAAAGAATTTTAAAACACCCAGATTCAAAGAGTATTATTTGAACTCTTAAGAAATCAGCAGGAAACTGCTACAAAGAAAAACTTAGTTTAAGAATCACTAGGTCTTTTCATGTATTACGCAAGTTTAAGTTTCACATTGCTTGGGATGGTTGGTTTCCACCAACTTCGAACTTTTTCGAAAAATTTCAAACAAAGAATTTTTTAGAAGTATAGTAATCACTCATATACTCTCTACGTGGATCCAATAATTGACATTTGCCTGTTACTTTATTTTTTTCTCTTTGTATACTTTTTAATCTAAAACATTTTGAAGTAAGTTGCATGTGTTACTTTTCCTTGCTAAATACTTAAATAAGGACTTTCTTCTAATAACCACGATACCATTATCACATCTGAGAAAATTAACAAAATTACATCATCAAATATCTGTTACATATTCACATTTCCTTATTGTCTCACAATTGCTTTTTGTAGCTGATATTTTGATACTTTTTTCACCATCCAGGATCCATTTAAAGTTTATACATCACATATGGTTTTTGACCTTGTACTCATTTAGTCAAGAACATGCGAAGGTTTTTATAAAAGGAGATCTTGCATACAGTTTATGGGTGTTAACTAGTTGGTATTAAGGGTTGAGAGGAATGATTCTGCTATGATAGTGCATTTCTTTTGGCTCCTCCTTCCCTTAAGAAGCTCAAAGATGTTACCCAGTTCTGATTTTTTTTTTTTAAATCTAGATCCGTTAATCTAGATCCGTAAACATTATTTGTAGCTGTGAGAAAAGCCAGTAAAATTTGGAAAGGGATTCATACTTGTTTTTACTCGAATGCTCTTTTTTAATGTCTTTGGAGGGGTATTCTTATGTGTGTGTTTGTGTTTTTCCTACATAGAAACAATTTTTTTCTTGTATTAAGATGAATATGCCATAAATTGCCATAAATGTATGGTCTGTTCTTTTTTGTGAAACTTGGATATAATGGCCTTAGCTGGAAATTAGTATCTTTCAACAAAGTGTAGCCTAACATTCAAGGTTCTCCACAGTTTGGCCTTCAGCTGCTTCTGTAAGCTCCTTTCTTCCTGTTCTTTGTTTCGCTAATTCTCCTTCAAAAGTGAACTAACTGTTTTCCTTATTCACTGTCCCTTATTCACCCTTGATTGTTCATTTACATAGTGTTGGTTGTGTTGCTCCTTCTGCCTAGGAATGCTCTTCTGCCCCTTTTCTCATTGTCAGATTCTTCCTGTACTTAAGGGCTCAGCTCACATTCCTCAGAAGTTGAAGTAGTTTCTCCCTTCTTTGACTACCCAGGGCTCTTTATCTGTACTTCTCTTGGAGCACTTTCTTCCTTTCTTTTGAATAACATGTTATTTATCATTTCTGTGAGACTGTATGTAAGTCTGTGTCATCTTTATATCCGCCACATTACTGATGGGCTAGTTGGTGCACAGTAAATAACCGTCAACTGCATAATTAAATATTTTGTAATAAATATCTTCACTTTCCTAGTAAGGGACCATTTGATCCAATCAGATTAATCCATAGCTACTGTTAGCTGTTTGGCGCACTATAGAATCAACTTCTGCAGTTATAGCTTTATATTTAAATGTGACCATGGGGGCGCCTGGGTGGCTCAGTCGGTTAAGTGGCTGCCTTCGGCTCAGGTCATGATCCTGGGGTCCTGGGATCGAGCCCCATGTCCGGCTCCCTGCTCAGCGGAGAGCCTGCTTCTCCCTCTCCCTCTGCCTGCCACTCTGCCTACTTGTGCTCAGTCTCTCTCTCTGTCAAATAAATAAATAAAATCTTTAAAAAAAAATGTGACCATGGGAAATTTAAATTTCCTGTAGGAAATGCTGTGTGCTTTCTTTTAACTTCGCCTTTTAAAGATTTTATTTATTTATTTGACAGAGAGAGAAAGAGAGAGCAAACACAAGCCGGTGGGGAGGCAGCAGAGGGAGAAGAACAGACTCCCCACCAAGCAGGGAGCCTGACTTGGGGCTTAATCCCAGGAGCCCCGGATCATGACCTGAGCCAAACAAAGGCAGACGCTCAACCGACTGAGCCCCCCAGGCGCCCCTTCTTTTAAACCTTCATTTTCTGGATAAATTATTTAGAATATGGTTCTAGAAAGTTTTTCACCTGTATTGGACTAGACATGTTGGCATTTCCTGAACCACCTCCTAAAATCCTTAGAAAAACTAAGGGAGGCTGGGCTAGGAGTATTACTGAGAGGGATTGCCCCTTGGGAGGAAACTCTTCCCCTGAGAATCCTGACCCTTAGCCTCATAGTGTGATTAACAAGAAACTGTCTTTGTGAGAATCATATACTGAGAGCTATACTGGGGGAACATGGAATGAACTTTGGAGGGAGATGATGAGGAAGAGGCACTAATGCTGTCAAGAACTTTCTCTGCTGGTATAGGAAAGGTGGACTCATCTTTTTATGATGCTCTTGTTTGTTTCAGTATATTCAGTATATTCCATCAGTGGGACTGTTTCATCAAGGAAAGAGAACATGAATGTGTAGCCCCTTTTGGAAAGGACCAGGAGAAAAACTACAATTTTTACTTATCTGTTTTTTTCCTTTGTTCATTCCTTTTCTAGCTTTTTTGGGTTTAGCTTTTTCCTGGAGAGGACTACAAATTAATTCTTGAGGCTGAGCATTGCTGTTAGTTAAATGGCCATCTCTATGTAATAAGAGTACACATTTGGGATTAACTGGAGGTGTTTAGCTCCTTCATCCCCAGAGTTCCAGTGAATGCACTTTGGTGGATATGAACAGGAGCGGAAGCCTACAGGAAGGAGCTGCTCAGACATTTCCAGAAGTGGAATGATAGAACACTTAAAACTCTCTTGATACCTTTAATAAGAGCATTCCAAGGAATCCGAATTCCCCAGAGACACTTCCTGGTTTAGAGTCTAACAGAAGCTGTGGCATGATAGGTCGCTTACTCCACCTCAGGCTTTTCCTCAGCAGTCGTGTGACAGATGCAGGACAGACCTGCTTCTATCTGCTAATCTCTAGGAGTGCAGTGTTGTTTTATTGTCTATAGTGTTTTCTTTCTGCCTTGTTTTGTAGACTGGTCAAAAGAATGGATTTTACAGAGGCTTACTCTGACACATGCTCCACGGTTGGACTTGCTGCCAGGGAAGGCAATGTTAAAGTCTTAAGAAAACTGCTCAAAAAGGGACGTAGCGTTGATGTTGCTGATAACAGGGGATGGATGCCAATTCATGAAGCAGCTTATCACAACTCTGTAGAATGTTTACGGATGTTACTTCATGCAGGTAAAGTAAATTCAAGGTATGGGAGGCTGGGCCTACAAGCTGGATTAATAAAACATAAGCAAATGGTAATATATGATTTATTAATGGTAGTATTTGTTTTCCTTTTCTATAACCATAAAAGAATTGCCTATGCATTATAAGAATGGTAAGATTGCCTGCCTTGGGTTATATAAGTATGGTGTTTCAGCTGGACATCTATAAATGTTGTCCTTGATATGTAACTTGCTGTGCCTGGCCCATTTTTACTGTCTGAGCTCTTTTAATTAAGCATTTGGTAGTTACTAGTCATGTTTATTCCTTCTTCCTTTTCCAAACAAAAGGAGCAATGTTACTGGAATTGAGGGTGTGATTGGTTGAATTAGTCTTTTTTTTTTTTTTAATATTTTGCAGTTTTGTTAATTTCAGGAATCTTTCCAATTACTTTTTTTTTTTTTTTTTTTAATCTGAGGTCGCAGTAGGGAATAGGATAGACAAGGTCCCTGCCTTAATGGTGCTTAAATTCCTGTCAGGGGAGACAGACAATACCTAAATACTTAAACAAGATAATTTCGAAATGTAAAAGTGTTGTGGAGAGAATAAAAGAGTAATGGGACAGAGATTAGCCATGTGCTATTGTGCATCTCTTTCCAATTCTGTATTCAGTTGACTTCATGCTTGTAACCTGAGATCAGTCAAGTGGGAATATTTACATGGGCAGAAATCAGCCAGTACTATAACCAAAGCTATAAATTTGGGCTTTTTTTTTCCCTTTCTGAGAGCCAGTGATACATTTGTCAGCTCGCTACTGAGAAAAAGACAAGAGACTAAATGAGAGATTGTGACAGGAGATGGTGGGCCGGAGTGAGGGGGATAATAGTGAGCACTGCTTTTTAACAATGTACTAGATACTTGATTTACATTATTTAATATGTACCAAACTGCTCTTGAGGCATTGTTATCTCCATTTTATTGGTGAGAAGTTTACCAAGACTCATAGAAGTTGACTTGTCCAAAGATTATATAATAAACTAGAACCCATTTCTCTCCGTAAAGCTCACTTTTTTTCACTATAGCATGCTTCCAACATTTAATCAAAGTAAACGTTTTTAGCATTTAGTTAATTTAAACTGAGGTTGAATATAACACTCTGTTTTAACACTGAGTGAACCATTTATATTTCATTGATCATGGGAATTCTGATTCTTCCCTGTGTACTTATCATCACAGGTATAGCTACTCAAAATTTAGACTTCTGGTACCATAGTTCATCAGAATTACTATCTCATGGCTTCATGAATGGGAAAGGAAATTATCCTTCCTTTTTTCGCATTGATTTTTATTTGTTTTGTTTTAAGGAATGAGGGATGGCAAGGCTAAATTCCCCCAATCATAATACCAAAAGTTCATTACGTCTGCTAAGCACATGTTCTAGAGTCTGTTATAGTTGACTCTGAAGAGATATTAGAAAACAGACTTTATGCCTTAGATTTTAAAAACTTGATATGTGTTTTTAGAATTTGAAGTTAATTCTATAGCTTGAGTTCCCTATCTCTAGTGATAAAGGCATAAATTTAGATATTCTTTTCTAGTCAAAAAGGTCATTCCCAATGTTATTTCTCCCCACACCAGAATAATATTGTTTATGTTATGTTTATGTTTATGTTAGTTTTTTTCCTATAGCTGCAGAATAAACTTGGGCATGCTTTTGACTAAATGTGTTTGAATTGGCTATTCAAGTCATCTGTGTTTTCTGTTAGAAATTTTAAGTATCACCTTCATTTTTTTTTAATTTTTATTTATTTGAGAGAGAGAGAATGAGAGATAGCACGAGAGGGAAGAGGGTCAGAGGGAGAAGCAGACTCCCTGCCGAGCAGGGAGCCCCATGTGGGACTCGATCCCGGGACTCCAGGATCATGACCTGAGCCAAAGGCAGTCGCCTAACCAACTGAGCCACCCAGGCGCCCTATCACCTTCATTTTTAATGACTGTTCTTTTTTAGGCTTGATTTTTTTGGAGGATAAGATAGCCACACATAGTTAATTATGTGAATAGTTGATATAAATGGTCAAATAAAATTTTCTAACTGTATTTTTATTAGAGTTCACTGTTATGAAATAAACCGGATAAATCTGGTTTACATGTAGTTTGTATACAAGGATTGGGAAGTGGGGTGTGCAGAGACCAGGAAGCAGCTATATGACTTGTTTTAGGAGGTGGTGACATTTTTGGTCTCAGTCTTCCATGAGTTCATTGTTCTTTATAGTTGGAACTAGGGTCCAGAATTCTATTATAATCTGATTATTTGATTCACTAACCAGAAAAAAACTAGAATGAGGCAGAAAGGCTGTATAGCCTATTGGTCACTTTAAAAAATGTTTTATATGTTCTTATGGCCCATCCCACCCTTTGTAAATTAACTAAAGTCCATACTTTATTCAGATCTCCTGCCATTTAATTAATTAACTAGTTAATTAATTAATTTTTAAAAGGTTTTATTTATTTGTCAGAGAGAGGGAGAGCGCAAGCAGGGGGAGCGGCAGGCAGAGGGAGAAGCCGAAGCAGGCTCCCTGCTGAGCAAGGAGCCCCATGTGGGACTCTGTCCCAGGACCCTGGGATCATGACCTGAGCCGAAGGCAGACGCTTAACCGACTGAGCCATGCAGGCGTCCCTAGATCCCTTGCCTCTTAAAAAAGATTACAATTTAAACTTACCTGGATGATTCAAGTTCAGGAACATTGACCAGTGAGGAATGGTAGCTGCTTGCTACATGTGAGGATTTTTTTTTTTTTTATGTTCAGTTAGCCACCATATAGTACATCATTAGTTTCTGATGTAGTGTTCAATGATTAATTGGTTGTGTATAACACCCAGTGCTCATCACAACACGTGCCCTCCTTAGTACCCATCACCCAGCTACCTCATCCCCCCACACCCCTCCCTTCTGAAACCGTGTTTCCTGGAGTCCATAGTCTCTCGTGGTTTGTCTCCCTTTCTGATTTCTTCCCCTTCACGTTCAGTTTTCCCTCTCTTCCCCAGTGGTCCTCTGTGCTATTCTTTATGTTCCACATATGAGTGAAACCATATGATAATTGTCTTTCTCTGCTTGACTTATTTCACTTAGCATAATCCCCTCCAGTTCCATGCATGTCAGTGTGAATGATGGGTATTCATACTTTCTGATGGCTGAGTTAATATTCCATTGTATATTTGTACTACATCTTCTTTATCCATTCATCTGTTGAAGGGCATCTCGGGCCCTTGTAAGGATGTATTTTATTTTATTTTGTTTAAAGATTTTATTTATTTGACATAGAGAGAGAGAGATCACAAGCCTGGGGAGAGGTAGGCAGAGGGAGAGGGAGAAGCAGGCTCCCCGCTGAGTAGGGAGCCCAATGTGGGGCTCGATCCCAGGACCCTGAGATCACGACCTGAGCCGAAGGCAGATGACCAACCGACTGAGCCACCCAGGTGCCCCTGAGGATGTATTTTAAAATAATGATGAAATACAGGGGTTTTTAGTCTTGAGGAGTAAAGTAAGGTCTCTTCTGCTTGTTGGTGACAGTGGCATCTTTATATCTGTACCACTTAACTCGGTATTATGAGTTAATCTTCAAAGTTTCCAAACGAAGTTTGACATTTCTGTTATTCTTTATACTTGCTATACCTGTGTTTTATTTAATTCATAATTCTCTTGTCCTTTATAGCTCTGCTGGTATACATAAAAGTGTCTTTCATTATATAATTTCTATCTTCTTGAACTTCATTTAATATTAGTGAACTGCCAGAGATTCTTAAAATATACCTTTTATTAGTATACTAAAGTTATGAAAGTGCTCAGGCCTACACAAAAAGAATGGAAGCATCTTAGATATTTAGAAAAGTTTTGCTTTACTGTTGCTTCAGTTTAGATCCAGAATCTAGCCTAAGAATCATACATGGTCTTCTCATCCATGTTGGAGAAGAGCATTCAATTGCAGTATGGATTACTTGGAAATTTAATACGCATATATATTTTTTTCACTTTAACTTCTTATTTGAAGTATTAATATAAATAACAGTTTTGCTTGTCTTCTTTCCTGTATTGGAAGTTTATGTAATAGGTACTGAGATTTCATGCATCTTTTCATCTTGGAGGACAATAATGATCTTCAGTGGCAGTTAATCATGCCATTCAGTATTAAACCACTTACTAACTAAAGGTCACTTAAAATCTTATAATTGTAGCATATCACCAACAAATATTTTTATTTGGCAAATATATGAACTAATTCATAGTACTTTTTATTAGTTCATGTTAAGACAATACTGTGCTGTCATACTGGGCATGATAACAGATGCTGAAGATCGTTAGGTAAATAACAGTGTAGCAGTGATTAAGAGTTGTGTTCAGATGGACCTGGGTTCTGCTGATTCTCCCACTTTATTGGTGTGGTCTTGGACAGGTCTTTTAACCTCTTGGTGCTTCTGTTTCTTCTTCTATAAGATTAGAAATATTCTAACATTCCAGGGGTGCCTGGGTGGCTCAGTCTTTTAAGCGTCTGTCTTTGGCTTAGGTCATGATCCTATGGTCCTGGGATCTAGCCCCGTGTTGGGCTCCCTGCTCAGCGGGGAGTCTGCTTCTCCTTCTGCCCCTCACCACTCCTGTTCTCTCTCTCTCAAAAAAATAAATAAAATCTTCAAAAAAAAAAAATATTCTAACATTCCAGCTCAGGCCAGAAACTGGGCCATCCTTAATTACTTCCTTTTTCTTATATCCCTCACCCAATCAGCAAATCTTTATGTGTGTATATGTGTATATATGTGTGTGTGTGTTTCTATGTGAATACACGTACATATATTCACATCACTTCTCACTACCTCAGAACCACTAAAACCTTAGTCTGAGCCACATATCTCTTAACCCGGATTGCTGTAATAACATCCTAACAAATCTGTTTCTGCTCTTGCTTCTTCCCCATCCTACCACAATTTGGTTGTAGTGTATCAGAACCTTTTACAATATGTCAGACTCATGTCTTCCT